AAAATAAAAATGCTCTTAACTTCAGGGAGAGGGTTTTATGCCTATAATGTAGTTACTTTAACAGTACTTCACACAAACATCCATGTATTTGTTTTCAGGTAACTACAAACTATTTTTTTTACCTAGGAAAGAAAAAAGTGGTATTGTTACGTTGACTCAGTCTGTGTTGATTGAGGCTAACCTACCTCCCCAGTCTGTTCTTTTTTTTTTTTTTAAACCTAACTGCCAGTAGGTGCCAACCAGCCTCTTTTCCATCTTGCCCTAGGCTCAATTATGTCCCTGTTATTATGAGAAAAAATCGCCTGTCAACAAGTGTGGACATCAGTCTGGGTTGCCATCTTATGCCCTTACCTAAATATCAGAGATGAGAGAGGTGATGTCCTGTCTGCACTCTTTCAGGAAAGTGTAAATGGAGTGCTAAACTCAGGACAGACAGCTACAGGACCTGCGGAAAGACAGCCTCTGGCCTCCCCAGTGGCCATAAAGCACACCTCTCCATCCACAGACTAAGTCACAACACAATAGAAAATTGGTCATTTAAACCCCTCATCTTTGAGTGACTCAGTTCAATCTTCAGGACAGCCCAATGCATTCATTTTGGGGGCAAATATTTACTGAGCAGTGTGCAGGAGCTAAATCCAGGATAGGGCAAAAGTAGATTTACAGTTGTGAGCATGCCAAACGGAGTTTATTCTTGCATAATTACTTATTAATTATTATTTTCCATAGGAACAACTGTAAATGTACTTTTGCCCCACCCTGTATATGTCAGTCAGCCATGCCAGTGTCCTCTGGGAACTAACACTCTAATGAAAGCCAACATATAATACATGCTTTCACATGGTGATAGGTAGAGTGTCTGGAGAAGAAAAGGATGGGCTACTTTGATATTGTATAACAAGCTGAAGAGAAGTTAGGGATAGCATCTCAAAGGAAATGTTATTTTCCAAAAACACTGTTGACACCCACAAGGACACCATATAGGTGTTGTTGTTTTTTAATTTCCAAGAAATTAAGGCACTTAATGTTTTCATTTTTAAAGGCTCCCAATATGTTCAGGGACTAATACAGAAACCCTAACTAGTTAACTTACACCAATTAAGTTCATCGAAGTATAATTTTGTGGACTCTAGAATTTCACAAATCACCTGAAAAGAAAGGTATTATCTTCTGAGTTCAGTCATTTGAAATAAGTCAAATGTGTTATCAATCTTTTTCCACCAAAATCAACTGTACAATCAACTAATGTTACAAATTAGAAGAAAACAAGGCAATGAGGATGAAGATGAAAAACAGGCTGACCTCTGAAAGATAACTGAAATCTTATCCTAAAATGTGCCTACTTGTTAATTGGAAGAGGGAATGATATATCAGCTAAACCTCAAATAATCTCACTTCCATATAAATCAAAAATTCCAACCTTTCCCATAGCTATAACCATTGGGCAGTCTTGCCATGAGGAAACTGGCCAAAATAAAGGACAAGAGGAAAAAAAGATCAAGACCTTAGGTTAGCAAAAAAAAAAGAAGAAGAAGAAGAAGTCGAAACCGGTTTGGCTCAGTGGATGGAGCGTCGGCCTGCGGACTGAAGGGTCCCAGGTTCGATTCCGGTCAAGGGCATGTACCTTGGTTGCGGGCACATCCCCAGTGGGAGATGTGCAGGAGGCAGCTGATCGATGTTTCTCTCTCATCGATGTTTCTAACTCTCTATCTCTCTCCCTTCCTCACTGTAAAAAATCAATAAAATATATATATATTTTAAAAAAAGACCTTAGGTTAGCAATTTTAAATCTGGGGACTTGAGAATCCAAGAGAAGCTGTGGATACTTTCCCTAGAAAGTGGGTATATATACTATTTTGCATACAATTTCAGGGGAACTATGACACCCTGAAGCCCATTAAAGCACTGGATTAAAAACCCCTGACCTAGATAAATATCAAATTAGGAAATCAGGTCTCAGACTACCAGCAGTTGAAAGGGCTGTAAGAAGCATACAGTAATTTTCAATACATTATCTAATTAAATTGCAACCCCTACAACAACCTTGGGAAGTAGGTATTATCTCCTTTTACAAAGAGGGAAAGCTAGAATCTGAGAGGTGAAAGAACTAATTCAAGGTTAAGCATCCTCCTTTCACACCCAGATTTCTAATTCTTAGGTCCTCAATTATGAACTACAGGAGAATTCAAGAACTCCACTCAATATTTCAAGACATCTTCCAAGATGGAGAGTCGGTGACTTTTAGTACAGTCAAATCTCAGTTCTTGAATGTCTCCCATCTGGAATAATTCAGTTCTTGACCAAGTTGTTCACAGGGTAAAAAAAAGGTCTCGGTTGTCAACCAAATCTTCAGTTTTCAACCTGACAACCTTTTCATGCTGATATCTCAGTAAGACAAAAAAGCTTCTTTCAGGTAACAAAGGAAAGAATGCTTTTGCTGTTGGTTAAATTGAGGATTAGCACAATTTTAAAACATAAGGAAGCCATCAAGAGTGCTAATGTTTTAAGGGTGTGAAAGTGCTCACAAAACAGCAATCACAGGCAATTGAATAAGTAGAAAAACTGGTGTCAATTGGATAAAGGAAAAGCAGTTAGCCAGTGATAGCATTTCAGAGCAGTGATATATGAAAATTCCCTTAAGGCTAGTACGGGGTGGTTCGCTAAATTTAAGAAGTGTTTATTTATAAATTAAACAGCGCATTAGACAGGTATTGTATATAAGAAAGATTAAAGCAACAGGAATCATTTGGGGGTCTGGAGTGGGTTTAATTCAATTTACATTATTCCTAATGGGGAAAAATGATTCAGTTTTCAAACAAATTGCTTCTTTAACAGCCTTCCATTAAGTTCCAGAAACGAGGTTCCACTATACTTCATAAGATCAATTTATCTACACATTTCTTCTCAATTTAACCTCATTGACGAGAAATTTAGTATGGATGTAATTCCAAAACACCTTTTCTTGGTAGGAAATAATATAACCAAAGACAAAGGATAATTGTCTAATAATTTTTGATAATTTTTAAATGTATTTTCATTTCTTAAGCAGCCTGATATAAGCTCTTTGTTTAAAAAAAAACAAAAAAACAAGGCCCACTGGATGAGTGCTGAACCTCCTGATGATTGGATTTTTAAACTGTCCCAGATGAATCAAGATCTGACTGAATTAAAAACTTCAGTCTCTACTTCAAACAGGCAGGCAGAGTTTCAGATGAGCTAGCCACTTCAGCATTCCCTGAATGGTTAGAGCGGTTTAAAAAAATGGCACCCCTAACAGTCCCGAATAATTTGATTGGTCAGAATCACATACAACCAAATCTATTACTCCTCTGCACATCAAGATGGTAGTTCAGAGGTCTTAGATCTTCATGGTCAAACTTGATAATGAATATGTCCCAGCAGAAAATAACAAACACAACAGAAACTGCGTCCAGGCCACTAAATTAAGTGGGTCTCAGTCCAGACCCAGTTGCCCAGTGAAACATTTACACACGTACTCATCCTCCATAGAGAAATTACCAATAATTAGCATGCTGTTTTCACATAGACTTAGAAAACCTTTATGGGAAATGTATCCACACCCAGAGAATGAAAACTAAGAACAAGTGTGGGTCAGGTCCTCTAAAGCTCTACTCCAACTGCTTCCTAGGAGAGTTGCCACCTAGTGATTTTAATTTTTTAAGCCCAGGCAAGCTGCCAATTCAACACTAAAACCGGACTAACAACTGACTTTTCCTATTGCAACATCACCAGCAAGTCCTGTGCTTTCCCTCTTTTTCCTTTGCTTGCAAACAGCAATTCTCATTTTCAAAATCAACTAATTTGCTCTATAGTCTGTTCCAATAGGAAGTTCTCAGAGAGCTGCCAATGGAATTACTCTTCCTCCTAGTGCCAAGAGGCCAACAAGTGGCCAATTCAAAAAACCAAAGCAGTGGGTGTGAAGAAAAGATCGGCACTAAACACAACAAATGTGAAGGCAGTAACAACGGGCCAACTCGGGACTTTAATATGTTCCATTTGCCAAAGTTCTACCTATTCTTGTGCCCTGGGCAGTAACTATACCAAAATAAATGGCTACATGTGAGAAATACAATTGCACAGGGGAATATAAACTAATATTTTGGATTACCAGATTCCACTCAAGGCCTTGTCCATAGTACCACTGAAAAAAAATAACTCGACCTGAACCAAAGGTGGACTGGCCTCAGAAGTTCTTTCTGACCAGTGTGCCCAGGCCTGGCACAGGCATTAACTAGATAGCAAATGTGACTATTTAACAAAACCAAACAAAAACACAAAGGAAATGTGAAGGAAGTCTGACAGTTTAGATGGCTGACCTTTCATTGGGAGGCACACCTTTAGCTACAGATACTTCCCTACAGTGTTCTCCTACCAAACAGTTGTATTAAAACTGACCAATAATTAGACTGTTTTCACCTTTAGGGCACTATATACACTTGTTTCACGGTATGCTCCCACCCCTCACCCCGCCCCCCAACACACACCTTGGCAGCTCACAAAACCATCTGACCAACCGCTCCTCAGGTGTGATGATCCTGTTGAACTTTTGTAACTCAAATTCCATAAAAATAAGGCTGCACAGGTAACGCGCCATCTTTTTTAAAGTTCAAAATTCATTTGGATTGCCAGCAGAAATTTGCAGGTGGCCAGTTTCCTTTCCAGAGCCCCGAACGCCTGTGCGGAGACGCTTTCGGAAGCGGAGAATTCCTTCCTCCCCCGGTCGGCCTCCGTCCAGGTCAGACCCCAACTCCCGCAGGTGCCAGCGCTCACCACTGAGCAGCCGCCCCGCGCCAGGTCTCCCCGGAGGCTCCAGGACGCTCCCATCACGGGAAGCCCCTCGGAGACCAGGTTTCCAGACGCTCCGCGCGTCCTCCCGCTGCCTCCTCCCCGGGCAGCATCCTCGCGCTGGGAGGAGGGGCGGGGGCGCGCGTCCCCTGCCCGGGGGAGCCGGCACGGAGCCTGCAGGGGGCTGGACTCACCTTCGCGACAGAGCCCCATGACTTCGCGGTTTTTCCCAAACTCCTTGAAACTTTCGTCCAATTCCGTCCCTAGGAGACACACACACAGGAGGAGGGAGGCAGGTCAGTGCGGGTGTGACGCAGGCTCACGCACGCACGGAGTAGGTGCGGGCACCTCGCTTCCCCCAACCGAGCGATAGCATCTCCGACCCCGCGGGGTT